TGGGTGGGAGCAGAGGGCTACACCCCACACCACCCTGGAAGCTGAAACAATATCGCCGTTTATTTGGGTGACACAGCGGCCGGCCCACCCGAGGGCTCTGACAATCAGCATCGTGACTGAAACCCCCCAAATAGTCCCTCTCCCCCTGCTGGCTCTGCGGGGGCCCAGGCCCCAAGTCCAGGCCCCTGGGCCCTTTGTCTCTTCACCTCGGGGCTCCGGGCTGCCTGCTGCCGACACCTCCCGGGAGCCCGGCCGTGGCCGGTCACTTCCTGATGCTCTCTCTCTGCAGAAACAGCGAGTACCTCCGCAGCCGGGTCCAGTGTTCCTTCTCCTTCACCTTGTTCTCCAGCTTCTGGCACCTGGGGGTGGAGAGGAGAAGGGCATGCTTTGTGCCGCGCCCCCCACCGGCCCGGCTCCCCAGGGCGGGCCTGACCACACTGTGCCAGCATCAGGAACGCTCCGAAGGCATGCGGCTGCCTCGTCTCTGTGCCCTCGGGACTCTGCCTGGTGCAGGGTGGGCCCCTGAAACTCCTTTTAAAAAATACATATTTTTACTGATTTCAGAGAGGAAGGGAGGAGAGAGGTAGGAATGGGGAAGGGATAGGGAGGAAGAGAGAGAAACGTCAATGAGAGAGAAACATCGATCGGCTGCCTCCTGCACGCCCCACACTGGAGATCGAGCCTGCAACCTGAGCGTGTCCTGACCAGGAATCGAACCGTGACCTCCTGGGTCATAGGTCAATGCTCAACCACTGAGCCACACCGGCCGGGCAAACCGGACACACTTTTGGGGGAAAGAGGGTGACATGGCAGAGCGTGAGGTGGACAGTGGCCGGCGGCACAGCGCACTCAGGAACTGAGGTCTGTGAGCGCGGACCCGTGTTGCACACACCGGGATGCCAGCGCGCCGTTTCATAAGCGTTTCTTGAGCACCCGCCAGTGGCAGGCACTGGTGCAATGTCGGGCAGGCCAGAGTGACCACACAGCACGTCCCTGTCCCCAGAGAGTGGGGGCCACAGAGTGAGAGAGCACTGTGACAGGAGTCATCTGAGCGCCACAAAGGTCACGCACGCGCAGAGAGGAGGAAGGGAGCATCGCCCGGGGTGCTCCCAGGAGATGACGGGTTTAAGTAGGGGTTTTCAAAAAGTAAGGGTGGGTTGGTTTTTATTTTCAGTTTTTTAAAATATATTTTTTGATTTCAGAGAGGAAGGGAGAGGGAGAGAGAGAGAAACATCAATGATGAGAGAGAATCAATGATCAGCTGCCTCCTGCACGCCCCACACTGGGGATCGAGCCCGCAACCCGGGCATGTGCCTTGACCGGGAATTGAATGTGGGACCCTTCCGTCCTCAGGCCGGGGCTCTATCCACTGAGCCGAACCGGCCAGGGCTTTAGTGTTTTGTTTTAATAACAAACGAGTGCACGTTCACGTTCATTTCAAGTGCACGGGACGCCTGCAGTGCCTTGCAAAGCCTTTCACTTCCAGGAGCCTGCCTGACTGCAAGTTGGGGGCTGTGTGTCTGTGGGGGATTTTCCAGGGAGTCGTCCCTTTGTTTCTCAAGGAAGGCGAAGGAAAGTTAGGCTGGGGGCACCCTTTCCTCCCCAAGGATCGTCGGCACACCATCCCTCCCCCTCCTCCTCCAGCCTCGAGGGAAATGTCACAGGGGAGCCCTGTGCCCTATGGCAGAAAGATGGGTGGGCGGAACCTGGACGTGCTTGGCCTGTATTCTGTAACCCACGGGGACTAAAGGGAGAGGGACAGACTGTTTCTGTCTGCTTCCCGGCGTCCAGAAATTTCTGTGGTCAAATGTTTGGCCCAGTCAGAGATGGCAGACACTAGAACAGACGGGGAGGGGAACCAGATGGAAATGGTGCCCCTGAGGCCCCGGCTGGATGGGGCAGAGGCCAGGCCGGGGCGCAGCGGGAGAGGGTGGGCCCCCTTTCAGGGCCCTGAAGGTGGGCTGCGGTTCACACTGCGCTTGCGAAAGCCCCATGGCGGATTTTGTAAAAGCAATTTGGACAGACCGTGACAGGCCTGAAACTTTGACTCTATTGCCTCTCCAACCCATTGCCTCCAAGTTTCACCTAGGTTCAGGGCCCATGGAAACTTCCAGACACCAGCTATAAATAGAAAAAAAAAAATAAGATGGGATTACAGCCTTTAGATGTACATGGGCGTGTGTGGTAAACGGCGAGAGTAACATGTTAACAACAGACCTAGGCTGTGAGTATGCGGGTGTTCGCGGAAATTTTTTTCAAAGCTGCTGTGTGTTTGAAAGTTTTCGTGATAAAATGTGGTGGGAAAGCCCTAACCGGTTTGGCTCAGTGGATAGAGCGTCGGCCTGCGGACTGAAGGGTCCCAGGTTCGATTCCGGTCAAGGGCATGTACCTTGGTTGCGGGCACATCCCCAGTGGGGAGTGTGCAGGAGGCAGCTGATCGATGTTTCTCTCTCACCGATGTTTCTAACTCTCTATTCCCTCTCCCTTCCTCTCTGTAAAAAATCAATACAATATATTAAAAAAAAAATGGGGTGGGAAAGCCCCTGATATCTAACTCCGAGCAAACAGAAGAGGAAAGCCTTCTTTAAATCATGGTGTTACCCGATGGATCGCTGGGACCCAGATCACAAAATGATGTGACTGGAACCCCGTGATTAGGTCCAAGGAAAGGTTCCTTCGAGCAGGGTTGCCACAGCCACACAGTGCGCCCCCTCCCAGCTCCTGCCGGGTCCCTGGACCCGGGAGCACTCCCCTAAGTTCCCACTGCGTGGCTAGCCCCAAGCCATGCCCCTGGCCCCCAGGCCCCCGCTGCCCGGCCCTTTTCCCTGCAGAATGTTCTGGGAGGCCGTCTCCTCCACCCACTGAGCACTGTGGGGCATTCCCCGGAAGAGGCGGGTGTCCGACCTCCATGTGAGGGACAGACAAGCACTCTGGGTAAATCTTTAATCAGGGGAAACGTCGCTGTCCCTCTCTTCACTGTCCTCCTTGCCCAGGACCCTTTGGCCGTATTCCTCTCCTGATGACCCCCATGCTTCCCTCCAGGAGATACTGAAAGCCACCTAAGCCACCACCGCAGCCCAGGGAGGAGCGGCGGTCGGGGGAGGCGCTGCGGCGCCCCCCGGTGGTGATGTGTAGAATTTCCCCTGGAGTGAACTTGGATTAACGCAGGGAACCATCGTCATTGTCATTGTCATCGTCATTGTCGGCTTGTATCTACCGTTTATTGAGCGACCACCCTGTGCCTAGCGCTCCGCATGTATTTTTAAAAATATATTTTTATTGACTTCGGAGAGGGAGAGATGGAAACATCGATGATGAGAGAGAATCACTGATTGGATGTCTCCTGCACGCCTCCTATTGGGGATCAAGCCTGCAACCCAGGCATGTGCTCTTGACCAGAATCGAACGCGGGACCCTTCAGTCCACAGGCTGATGCTCTATCCACGGAGCAAACCAGCTAGGGCGCCCTCTCCATGTATAAAGCCTGAAGCTTGGGCATCATTGAAACATCCAGAACACAGCCCAGCACATGGTAGGTGCTCAGTAACCTTTTTTTTTTGAGTGAATGAGGGAACGGAGGCTCCGGGAGGTTGAGGAACGCCCCCCGGGTCTCACAGTTAGTAAGGGACGGCATCCGATTCAAACCTGAGTCTCTTAGCCAACCGCCTTCACCCTCTTGAGGAAACAGTAAACAGAGAAAGGGGCCCGCGGACACTGTGGGGATGGGAGGGCCACAGACTCTCCGGGCTCCGGCGGCAGGAGGACCCTGCGTACCTGGCAGGGAGGGGACCTGCCCAAGTCCCCGACGTGCCGTGGCCGGTCTGGGCCGAGAACCCAGGGCTCCAGCGATGACCCTTCCACCGAAAATGTACCGTCGGACCCCGGCAGGAAATCTCGACAAGCGTGTGCGGCCCCAGAAATCGGTGAGGGTTTGGGGGGAGACACTTGCTTCTCCAGGTGGGCCAGGCCCTCACTGGGCTTTCACAGCGGACAGGAACCCGGGCGGGACTGGGGTGGGCAGGGGCGGGCGGAGGCAGAAGGCTTGACGCCTCTGCATCCTGTGGGTCCTGCAGGCTCTGGTGGGACGGTCCACTCGCTGCTGAGCGTGACCATGTCCCCCGGAAGCTCCCTTTCCCCAGGCGGCCGTGGGCTGGATTTGGTCCGCAGGCCCTAATTTGCCAGCCCCGATGGTGTCCAATAACCCAAATACGCCTTTAAAAGTTGAGGAAGCAGAAGGAGCCCGGCCGGTGTGGCTCAGTGGTTGAGCATCGACTTATGAACTAGGAGGTCAGGTTCAATTCCCGGTTAGGGCACATGCCCGGGTTGTGGGCTCGATCCCCAGTGTGGGACGTGCAGGAGGCAGCCGATCCATGATTCTCCCTCATCACTGATGTTTCTATCTCTCTCTCCCTCTTCCTTCCTCTCTGAAAACCATAAAAATATACGAGAGAGAGAGAGAGAGAGAGAGAGAGAGAGAGAAAGGAAAGCCTATCTTAACAGGAAGAACGCACCAACTGGAGGCCCTCCTTCCCCATCAGCCTGAGCTTATTCCTCCTCTTCTACCAATTGGAGCAGGAATCGGAGCGCGAGGGGAGGATTCAAATGCCGGAAGGTTCTTACCCTCAAACCAACTCCACTGTTCCCGCCCAGGCCAGGCCCGGGGCAGGGGTGGGGAGGGCAGGGGTGGGGAGAGCTGGGGAGCAGGGGTGGGGAGGCCCAGGGCAGGGGTGGGGAGAGCTGGGGAGCAGGGGTGGGGAGAGCCGGGAGCTACCTCTTCTGGAAGATGCCCTCGCATCTCCTCTCCAGGGACAACGCCTCGGGGAAGCCCGCGGCGTCCAAGTCCGCTTGGGGAATGAAGCAGCTGTCTAACATGTTGTCCAGGAGTGAGCAGGCGTCGAAATTGAAGTAGAAGACAGAACTCGGGGTGTCACTGTCCCCAGTCAGATCGTCTCCTGAGATGAGACGAGAGTGCGCGTTTGTGTCAGCATCACCTTCTCTGTGTCTCTGTGGCCGGGTGGGGCCGGGTCACTGGGGCGGAGCCGGGAGGGCCCACTTGGTCTGGAGGAGCAGGGGTCCAGAGAGAAGGCCTGCCTGGCGTCTCTCCTGAGTGTCTGGTGAGGACTCTGGGGCTGTGGTGGCGGCGGGGGGCGGACAAAGAATGGGGAGCAGCCCAGCCGGTGAGGCTCAGTGGTTGGGCATCGACCTATGAACCAGGAGGTCATGGTTCAATTCCTGGTCAGGGCACATGCCTAGGTTGCAGGCTCGATCCCCAGTAGGGGGCATGCAGGAGGCAGCTGATGGATGATTTTCTCTCGTCATCGATGTTTCTCTCTCTCTCTCTCTCCCTCTCCCTTCCTCTCTGAAAGTAATAAAATTATATATTAAAAAAACAAAAAGAGTGGGGAGCAGATTGGATGGGGTCACCCTAGGACTTCGGGAGGGGCCCCAGGTCTGGCCAGCGCGCCCTCACGGTCCCCCTTCCCTACCTCGGAGCAGGAAGAACGGGTGATGCGAAGACACGGCAAACACTGGCTTCCAGGGCACCGCCAGGTGGTAAGGCCTGGGGGGCGCGAAGGCACAGACGACGTGCGGCCGGGCCACGTCCAGCAGGAGCACGGAGCCGTTCCTGCAGAAGGTCAGCACCTGGCAGCGGATGGTACGGGGCCCTCGCCTCAGCGTGGGACACGAGACGCCGGGCAGGAAGCGGGCAAACAGAGAGAACCGACGTGCTCCGGGGCACGCAGCCTCGGACCCAGCTCAGGGCAGCGGCCTGGGGACTCGCCTGCCGTCCCCACGGAGCTGTGAGCTCGGCACGTGATGGCCTGATGGCCGTCAGCAGAGAGGAGGCGGCGTGAGCCGTCGCTGCAGGGGAGGGAGAGGCACGAGGAACCTACCATGCCAGCCAAGGCCGGGACGGGGGCCACGGCGCAGAGGGCCTCCTCCGGGTGCTTGACGGGCCTGTGGGCACCGGACGGACAGACACTCATCCTCTCCTCTCCCAGGCCTGCATCCTGAATAAACTCTTGCAGATAAGCAGCAAGAGAGATGTTGGGGACTCTCGTAGAGGCAGAAACTGGGAGCAGTGCAGTCTCCACTCGTGGGAGAACGTGTTAGTAACTGGTGTGTGCACCGCAGAACACGGCGCAGCGGTGGGAATGAGCCCCGCAGCCGAGGGCGGCCTCCCGGGCACCCTCATGAACGTGCAGAGCAAGTTACAGAATAAACAGCATTGAAATGTAAGTGGGAGGATGCTTAGACCGTGGCGCCATTTACACGCGCCCTCCATATGCACAGCTACAGGTGCTGTGTGGGGACACACGCCCACGGGTGTGGGTAATTCTTAAAGGAAAGTAACGGAATGAATTTAGGAAAACGCTGTGGTGGATTAAAATAAAATCGGCCGTGATGTTTGACATCAACTCCCATCAAAAGGTGGACTCTCTCGACCGCCCGGCCCGCGTGGCTCAGTGATTGAGCATCGACCTATGAACCAGGAGGTCACGGTTCGATTCTAGGCCAGGGCACATGCCCTAGTTGTGGGCTCGATCCCCAGGAGGGGGCCTGCAGGAGGCAGCCAGTGGGTGATTCTCTCATCATTGATGCTTCTATCTCTCCCTCCCTCTCTGAAATCAATAAAAATATATTTAAAAATAAAAATAAAGGAGAGAGAGGGACTGTGGGGAAACTGAGAAAAGGCTATTTTGGCGGAAGTGACCCTCTTCTTGGCCGTGTGGGCTGTGAATGGGGTTGTCTGCCATCAGACCATTCAGTTGGGACCCTGCTGCATACAGACACCCACATACGGAAGACGTGATGTTGAGCATCTCATCGGGAGAGGGGGGTGGCTGTTGGGCAAGTGGGCTTCGGCCTGGGAGGTGGTTGCTGTTTCGCAACCAGCCCTGGCGGATCCTTTCCCCGGCCCTCCCCTTAGAGCGACCGACCTCTCCACCAGCATGCTGACAGTGGGGCCCTGGGTCCCCATGGCGGTCACCAGGTGGAGGGACGAGTCCGTGCACAGCACCACAAAGGTCGTTTGGGACTTGGCCGGCCCCTCTGGGTACACGTTCCGCCCTTCGTGGACCAAGAAGTGTTTCAGGAAGTGAATGCTTTGGCAGGAACACCCCTCAGGAAGAGCGATGACCCCAAGAGGCAGTCCTGGGGAGAGAAGCCACGCGTGCAGGTTGGAAAGGGGACAAAGGGCCCGGCCGGCGTGGCTCAGTGGTTGAGCGTCGACCTAGGAAACAGGAGGTCATGGTTCGATTCCCCGTCAGGGCACATGCCCGGGTTGCAGGCTCCATCCTCAGTGTGGGGCATGCAGGAGGCAGCTGATCAGTGATTCCTTCTCATCATTGATGTTTCCCTCTCTCTCTCTCTCTCTCTCTCTCTCTCCCTTCCTCTCTAAAATCAATAAAAATATTTTTTTAAAAAGGGGGACCAAGGGATGCATCCCTGGTGCGGGATTGCAGCCAGCAAGGGCCTGAGGGACGTGAGGACAAAAATCAAGCAGTGAGCGCCCCCTTCAGGGGACCCCTTCTAAGTACCCCTTAGATCAGCGGTTCTCAACCTGTGGGTCCCGACCCCTTTGGTGGTCAAATGACCCTTTCACAGGGGTCGCCTAAGACCATCCTGCATATCAGATATTTACATGATGACTCATAACTAGCAACATGACAGTTATGAAGTAGCAACGAAAATAATTTTATGGTGAGGTCACATAATTTTATGAGGAACTGTATTTAAAGGGCCAGAAGGTTGAGAACCACTGCCTTAGAAGAATTTATCAATATCCAGGAAGATGAAAACAAGCTATCGGAAGGGACTGTGAAGTTGTGATCGTGCTGCCCACCCACAGTAGCTGCTAGTCTGGAACTGATCGCTGTCCGGGCCTGTGAAAGGGTTGTTCGACCGCCAAAGGGGTCGCGACCAGAAGGTTGAGAACCACTGCCTTAGAAGAATTGTATCAATATCCAGGAAGATGAAAACAAGCTATTGGAAGGGACTGTGAAGTTGTGATCATTCTGCCCACCCACAGTAGCTGCTGGACTCGAACTGATCTCTTAGCTTCAACAGCAAGGAGGTTCCTGCTGTCAGTGGGGAGTTGGGGGAGCAGGAAGGAAGACTTGCTTGTTCTGAGAGCGTGGGGGCGGGCGGAGGGCTAGGGCGTGTGGCGCTGGGAGGTGATGTCTGTTGAATGAATTAGTGAATGAGAGGAAAGCAGGACTAGCCTTCCGAGGGGCCTTTAAGC